ATTCCAAAAAAGAATATTCCAATAAGAAATATTCAACTAGAAATATTCCAATAATGAACATTCCAATAACAAATATTCCAATAATGAACATCCCCCTAATGAGTGTTCCCCATAATTAATTTACATCCCCCTAATGAGTGTTCCCATAATTAATTAACATCCCCCTAATGAGTGTTCCCACCCAGGACTGGGTGCTCCAGGCCCTGAGGCACCAGAACGGATACAACTCCAGCAGCAGCAGGTCAGTCACAGACCCTAATGAACCCCTAATAACACCCCTAATAATGCCCTAATGAACCCCTAATAAACCCCTAATAAACCCCTAATAGCGCCCCAGTGAACCCCTAATAAATCCCTGATAAACTCTCAATAAACCCCTAATAAATCCCAGTAAACTCCCAATGAATCCCTAATAATGCCCCAATGAACCCCTAATGAACCCCTAATAACGCCCCAATGAACCCCTAATGAACCCCTAATAAACCCCCAATGACTCCCCAATAAATCCCAATAAAAACCCAGTAAATCCCCAATAACCTCCAGTCCCCACTGGGGGTGCCCCAGTCCCCACTGGGGGTGCCCCAGTCCCCACTGGGGGTGTCCCAATCCCCACTGGGAGTGTCCCAGTCTCCACTGGGGGTGTCCCAGTGCCCACTGGGGGTGTCCCAGTGCCCACTGGGGGTGTCCCAGTGCCCACTGGGGGTGTCCCAATCCCCACTGGGAGTGTCCCAGTCTCCACTGGGGGTGTCCCAATCCCCACTGGGGGTGTCCCAGTGCCCACTGGGGGTGCCCCAATCCCCACTGGGAATGCCCAGTCCCCACTGGGGGTGTCCCAGTGCCCACTGGGAGTGTCCCAATCCCCACTGGGGGTGCCCCAATCCCCACTGGGAATGCCCAGTCCCCACTGGGAGTGTCCCAGTCTCCACTGGGGGTGTCCCAGTCCCCACTGGGGGTGTCCCAGTCTCCACTGGGGGTGTCCCAGTGCCCACTGGGGGTGTCCCAGTCCCCACTGGGGGTGTCCCAGTCCCCACTGGGGGTGTCCCAATCCCCTCTGGGGGTGTCCCAGTCCCCACTGGGATTGTCCCAGTGCCCACTGGGGGTGTCCCAGTGCCCACTGGGGGTGTCCCTGTTGTCCCACAGGAGGGACATTGCCAAGGTCTCCATCTTCTACCAGCAGCTGAACTCCCAGGCCGTGCACGAGGCCCCTCTGCTCTCTGTGAGTGCCAAAACTTTCATTTCCCTTCCTATAAAATCCCTGAGAGCTCTAGAAATTCAACATTTCAGTATTTCATAGAGTATATAAATATTTATTTGTACATTATTAATAATTATTACGTTTATTTCTGTTTTATATCGATATTTATTTAGATGATGTTGTTCGTTATTCCATTTATTTCTAATTTGGATTAAAATATTTATTTATATGGTAGCATTAATTTTTACAATTTAATTTTTATTATAGATATAAATTATTTATTTATGGTAGCATTAATTAATTACTGTAGTTTGGTTT